TAGACGCTATATTCGGTGGTCTGCTATGATAAGGAGCACATTGCTTGTACGTCGAGACCTGTACGCCATGAGGAGTGCACCTCATCTAGGCTGGACACTGTATTCGGTGGTCCGCCAAGACAAAGGAAACACATCGCAGGATTGTGGTAAGGGTTGGTGAAGACGTGTCATCGCATACCACAATATTCTTCTATCACGCACGCCGTGTTGCGGGTAGCACCGGGGCCCTATGTCATCTTTATGAGCTCCGGGTTGCGGGCTCCATCTTAATGAGGTAGACATCGTGGTGTTGTTCCGCTAGCTCCATGCCTCCGTCCTACGCGGCATCGACTTGATGATGTTGATGATGGGCATTGTTTTGGTGGGCTCCGTATCGCCATCCTCTGGGGCACATCGATGACATCCTTGGGAGCTCCACACCTTCATCCTCCATGGCGCCTGTTTGCTGACGAAGATGACAGGCGTTGTCCTGGCGAGCTCTGTATCGCCATCCTTCATGACATGGCAGCGACATCCTCGCGAGATCCATGCCTCATCCACCATGGCACCGCTTTGATGAAGAAGATGATGGGCATCGTCCTAGTGAGCTCCGTGTCGCCGTCCACTGCGGCATGGCAGCTACATCCTCGCGAGCTCCACTCCTCCGTCTGCCATGGCATCAGCTTGATGAAGAAGACGACGGGCGTCGTCTTAGCGATCTCCGCATTGCCATTCTCCGTGGCACGCGACGACATCCTCGCGAGCTCTGCTCCTCCGTCCTCCGTGGCACCGGCTTGATGACGAAGACGACGTGCGTCGTCCTAGTGATCTCTGCGTCGCCTTCTCCATGACACTCGGCGGCATCCCCACGAGCTCCACGCCTCGTCCTCCATGGCGCCTGTCTGATGAGAAAGATGACGGGCGTTGTCTTGGCGAGCTCTGTATCGCCATCCTTCGTGACACAGCGTTCAAGTAGTGGGAGATGACCTCCTTCTTGTTCTAGCAAGCATGTATCCGTGTGTGCGAGGGCGCCCGCGCACTCCCTATGGAATCCCGGGGTCCTCTCCGCCGGCTGCGTGGTCTGCCGCCTCCAGGCGGGTGCGGATAACTCCTTTCTGGGTCCGCCACATGATTTCTTCTCGGATGTGTGTATCCCGCGAATACAAAGAGGGAAGGGATAGATATATGTAGCTGGCCTGAGATAAGCTATTGGTTAGTGCACGCTGCTCCGCCTCGTCATCACCACCGCCAAATAGGGCCAAGCAACATGCGTGATGCCCGGCGAGCATGCCGCCACTGTGGGCACGTTGGCGACCATGTTTTCAACCCAGGCGGTGCATGCTCTCCAGCGCTGCAACTCCGCCGTGGTATTTGCTGGGTGCCTGATATGTGTTCATGGTTGCGTGCGTTTTTGCTCCTAACGCTGCATGGGTTCTCTGGACGCCGCTGCCACGGGCACGTCTCCTTCTCTTTCTCCGGTCTCCCCTAGTGCCACCACAGGTGCGTGTGTCTCTAGCAAAACCTGATAAAACATTAAGACAAAGAAACAAACAAAAAGATGAGGGCGTGCTAACTGCAGACGTCATCTCTTGCTATGCGGGATCTCCATCCCGTTCTCAACGCCGCCGCCACGGGCGTGTCACCTCCTGGGCGTTTTTCTCCTGTTCCCTGGCTGGGTGCGATCTACCTCCGTCCGTGAGCCCTGGTCTTCTCTTCGTCTGTGTTCCCTCGCTGGCTTCCTTGCCTGCAGGCTTGTGTTTATATAGGCACGAGGAGGCCGGGTACTCACGTAGCCTCCGGCCGTCCCCATCTTCTTTACCATTCTTTCCTTGTTTAATCTCTTCGATGCTTACTTTGTTCGTTGATCTTCTTGATATACACGACAGCGCAAAGAAAGGAAAGCCATACTTGTGCATACCATACGAGAATCTGAGCAGTAATTACAGCAGATGGTATTTCCTTTGGCAACAACGGTGCTTCTAGAATCCCTGGTCAGCCGTAAGGTTTTATTCCGAATTAATCTTTACTTGCCAAATCAAACCTTGTACATGCTCATCAAAGTGTTACTAGCCAAAATCTCAGCCCCGCACGTGTGTAAGTGCATATTGGACCCAATGCAACACTAGCTTTCACGTATTTCAAGTACGTATTTATGCGGGTATTGGAAGAAGTATACACGTACACTTGCCGGCCGGCCATAAATACTCAAACACATATGTGTACAAGCTCTACGTACATGCATGCTCTGGGCTAATTTTAATTAGCCCCCATTAGCCCATTAACAATTACATTGGGCTAGGAGTAGTTCATACACACATACAATACATGTGCCATGCACATGCAATATAGGCACGTACACGTAGGCACTTCTTGCTCCATGTGTACAACTAAATAATATTGGTTCGAATCACCATTTAGACATCTCTTATTTTGAAATTATCCTCCCTCCTTATTTTCATACTGTAGTGCAAAATTCTCATCGAACACAACCAAGGGCATGGCATTAAAGTATACATAACAAAGAGCAAATAACATCCTGACATCATATATATATGGCTCATGGATTAGTGGGAACCAACATGACAAGATTGAATGTTGAAACAGTCTTAGCAAGTGTAAAACAGCAACATCAGCGTAGCAATGTTTGCAAGCATGGAACAGAGGCATATGATAACCAAAATTAACAATCATGCCATGTGAACAAATTACTCATAGCATACTTCAAAACATGTAACTGGAGCATCTCCAAAAGAGGCATAGATTAACTAATATCAAGCTCACAACATGGCATCACGAAGTTAACAGAAAATTGGAACAACATGAAGGCATGTTCATGGAATGAAAACATATGCTACATGGCATATATGAGGCATCCAAAGGCATGGCAGAATAGATCATAACAAGGACAACCAAACATGTCGACTAAGCATCTCCAGATTATGCATGTATTAATTGGTAGCATTAAGAAAACATGGCAACATAATATGACAGAAACAGGCTTGACAACACATTAACAGCAAGTAGTCCACTTCACAAGCTTGATGCACTCACTACAGGGCATATCAAAAAACATGGGTTGCACCACTGTAAATATGGAATGCATATGCTCCTAAAACATGTAGACATGATGCTCAAAATAAAAGCACACAAAAAGATATAAAAATGACAAGTAGACAAGTTATAACAGTTTTCAGCAGTTAACAGCAACATGTACTTTCCAACAGGGATCAATATGTCAAGATGCACCCTAACATGAATGCAACAGCAACCAACTTGTAGAGCATGAAGAGCAGAACATTTTCATACCAAGATCATCATTATAGGATCAACAGGTACAAAGTTACACCACTCACAAGATGCATATATGATGTTAACAATCAGCAGATTCCAGCAGTTTATATCATTTAGCAGTTTTGCAACGAAGATTAAAGCATCAATATGAACAGCAAAATGAATGCAAATGCAACTATCATGTAGAGCATCAAGAGATGAACATCTCGACATATCATGCACGCAAAACAGATTACGAGCTTGGAGATATGACATGACGAACAGGGCAACACAATATGAGGATTTCGGGACGGAGATATTTTACCCCGCGAGATCTAGGGTTCGTCCGCAGCATGTGAACCGAGGCGCCGGCGAGGTCCGATCCGGCGATGAGGACCGCGGGGGAGGGTGCCGGCGACGGGCTCCGGTCGGGGCGGCGACGACTGGAGCCGATGGTGGAGCGATGCCAGACGGCGATGTCGGGCGGCGCGGCGAGATCCTGGCGGCGGCCGGCGGCGGAGCACGAGCGTTGGAGTGCGGCATCGGAGGGAGGAGCTGGGCAGCGAGGGGAGGCGCGCGACGGAGCGGTGGCCTGAGGGCGGCGCTGGGCGCGAGGCGGCGGGGCGAAGCGGGCCGGGCGGGGCGAGATCTGGGCCCGCGCGGGTCCGGGATGGGCTCTACGGGCCGGCGGCGCGGAGGGGAGAGAGGGAGCCGCCGGCGGTGACATGGCGGTGCAGGATTGGCTGCAGAGCGGAGGCGGACATGTCCGGCGGCGGGGGAACGCGTTCGGCGGCGCGGAGGAAGAGGAGGCTAGGTTTTACCCGGAAATGGAGGGGGAGGAGCCTTTTATAGGTAGAGGGAGGTAGGAGAGTCCAAATGAGGTGCGGTTTTCGCCCACATGATCGTGATCCAACGGCGGAGAGCATGGAGGGGTTTGGATGTGATATTGGGCTGTTGTGAAGGGGTGCTGGGCTGCAAAGAGAGAGGGGTTTCGGTTAACTTGGTTAACCATTGGGGCATCAAACGACCTCCAAATGAAACGAAATTTGACAGGCGGTCTACCGGTGATATACCAAGGCCACTCGGAAAATCTCGGCCCATTCCGAGAACGTTTTTCTGCGGCTCACAAAACAAGATAAGAGGGGTGCCGTGGATGCATGTGGGAGTGTCGGATGACGAAACGGACCACGGAGAAAGTGACCGGATGCAAATTTTGAAAAACATGATGATGCAATGCACATGATGACATGTCAAAATGCAACACGCAAGCAAATGACATGGCAACAACGACGAATGACTGGAAGACACCTGGCGCATCGGATCTTGGGGCGTTACAAAAGGGCGCGCCCAACCTGGCACCGCCCAGCTTCCGCTCAAGAGGCACCACCAAGTGGCGCCCCAACCCCTAGTAAAACCCATTAACAGTCGCATGAAGGGCGCATTCTCGTGATGTCCACGTAGGCAGATGCACTGTTTAGTCGCTCCTCCTCCTCCTCGCTCGTTTTTGATTGGCTCTTGCTTGTTTGGTGCTACTGGCCCATGTCGTCGCCAACTAAAATAAGGGAGCGAGAGGAAATTTGGAGAAAGCTTCGCAGTTGCCTCGCCCCGCACGAAACCAGTCATTCTCCTCCTCACCCACGTCTCCCTCCTTCTCTCTGTCAGAGAGGAAGACGCTCCAGGAGAGATTAGGCCGCAGGAGGAGTAGCGGTGACCGACAGGCTCATGGAGGAGTAGCGGTGACCGACAGGCTCATGGAGGAGCAGCAGCGGCCAATGGCGGCAGACCAGATCAGCGCGCCGCGGGAGGGGATGGGGCAGCTCTCATGGGCCAAGCAGAGCAGAGTTGGCGGGCCATGCCAGGACCAGCGTGATAGGTCGCGGGCGAAGAGGGGCCAGGGCGGCGAAGACACCCCAGGAAAAGTGCCGCCGGCCACGACCTTTTTCCTCCTTGCCCTTGTTTTCTCCTTCCCGTCTAGGGTTATCGCCGCCGCCGCCGCCATCGTCCCCATCCTTGCTCGCGGCCTCGGTCTCTGCGTCTCTAATCGTCCCAAGATCCCAAACCCGTCGTCGTCTTCTACTTCCCTCTCTTATTCCCCTATGCCCCGGCAAGGTGTGCCAATCCGGCGCACACGGCAAAGTACATCAGCATCCAGTATACCCCTTGACACGGCCAAGGTCAGGCTACAACTGCAGAAGAGGGTCGTCGCCAGGGATCTCGCTGGGCCCAAGTACCGTGGCCTGCTCGGCACCGCCGCCACCATCGCCAAGGAGGAAGGCGCCGCCGCACTCTGGAAGGGCATCGGCCCTGGCCTCCATCGCCGGTGCATCTACGACGGTCGCTATGAGCCCGTAAGTTTCCCTTCCCTCCCTTTACCCCCTTCCTCATCTATATGTATGGTATTGCATTGCGTGAGTAGTGGTTGTGGTACTCAACAATGAACTTGACCCGAATTGTTGTGCCTGACGACCTTCAGGTCAAATCCTTCTATGTTGGTGCCATGTTGGGGATGTACCTTTGTCCAAGAAGATAGCCGTTGGCTTCACCACTGGTACCCTCATCGCTGTATTCTCAAACAATTTTCCGTTCCATGTGAAATGAAATATGCAGCAACATAAGATGGTTTGGCTGACCTGCATTAGGTGCCCTTATAATCTCTGTGGCCAACCCCATTGACCTTGTCAAAGTCAGGCTTCAGTCCGAGGGGAAGATGGCACCTGGTGTGTCGCGCTGTTATACTGGGGCAATGTATGCGCCAAGACTGTTAGGCAGGTCTATTGTTTCTGCTCTTGTTCTGCAAACTAATCGTGGATTGTTACATTTCCCGAATTGCTTGCTTCAAATATGTCGGTATCATCTTTAGGAAGGGGTTGATTTCAGGATCAAGTGAAGGTGGAGCATGGCTAGCTTGCTTGTTTAGCACAGTAATGTATTCTTTGATTTTTTTATGCAGTTTATCTTTTGGGTCGACTCTTTATTATTAAAGGAAAATCGAAGGTCGTGATGGTTCGACCTCCTACTATCGCTATCGAGACATCCCTTCCCACCTCTGATTCTTTTCCCATAGAGATGACCTCTCCCACTTCCGTTTTGATTTGGTTCCACCCAGTTACCCACCCACGCACCCCTCCCACGATCCTCCCGACGTTCCCCATGATTTCCCCAACGCAGCCTCCTCTTGGAGAGTCGCTCCTAGCGCAACGAGCGACACTGCTCCCTGTCACCTCCAAACCATGGCTTCCCCTGCATCTCCTCCACGCGATGCCGCCACTTCGCTGTTGCCACCAATGCCTAGTTGATGGCAGCTTTCCTCATCTTCTTCTTCTCAGGCCGCAGCCTCCCTTGTGATGTTGCCGCCCCACAGTCTCGACCGGCGCCGCGCTGGCCGCGGCATCCCGCGCGAATAAGAGGTCGACCGTTCTCTTCTTTGGATCTAGGTAGAGAATCGCGAGGGAGGCTGCAATAGAAGTTGGAGAATCGCGAGGGGCACATCCTCACATGTCAGTAGAGGCGTAGGCGTGGTGAAGAGGCACATGGTGACAGTGTAGGTGGAGGAGTAAAGGGCCGCTGGAGACGGTATCACGTCCAATACATCGGCGAACCGGCGTGCAGTGGCGCCAGGCTGGAGGTAGCTCACGGGGATGTTCAACCTGAACAACCACTTCATGTTCTTCCTGCGCCATGGCGTAGTCATCCTCGTCTCCAGCCCAGGTATGGTATCCATCCAAGTCTACTAATTTCTCTTCTTAATCTTATTTTCTGCTGATATAAGTAATCATGTCGATTACTGCAGGCAATTTATTTTTGCACACAACTAAGCTTTTCAGTAGTACACAAGGAACACCAGGAATATAAATAGTTTCAGGAATTCCATATGTTGTAAGATGCTTTGAATAGTCATTATACTGTAGCTTCACTGAATTGTATATCTGAACTTACATTGCATAAATCAACTGCAATATGTTACAAATTTTGTACAGTATCATATTCAGGTTGAGTTCAGTTCATATTGGCCATTCGATGAGCTTTAGTCGGTCGTTCTCTTTTCTCCTATATTTTGATGATCTCATAATGAAGGAAATCCCAGTTTTAGTTTGCGTCATCTTAACCAATTAGCCTCTATTCATTGTACTCGGACACAAAATAAGTTCAAAGTAGGCTATTCATTGCCATCTGCACATATTTTCAGTTGTAATATTTTTTGTATTTGTGCAGTGTTGGATGCTTACATACATTATGTACACTTATGCAGAAGAGAAGGGTCCCATCACTCTAGGCTGGGTACAGCCTAATATTATTATGCCACATTATCCGGTCTGGAACATGTCGTACAAGATTAAACTTCGAATTTTGCTTCAGTTTCAAATTTTTCTATATGTCCGAATTCCAAACAGAATTTTATAGGAATTATAATAAAAACCTCTATGATATCGCTTCGGCACTAAATAACTTTTTGGCTCAGCTAAATAACATTTTCTCCTAACTCCCGCCTTTATTTGTGCAGCTGAATTCATGTGGACAAGTGACAAAACATTGATTTTTGTGGCGAGAGTCAAAGTAATCATGTTGTGAACAAGGCCTTTCTTACAGTTAACTATAAATTCTGAACATGTTGATCCTCCATTTGTGAAGAAGCTGTGACAAAATTAGAAGTCAAAGGTTGTCCACGGATGCAAGTAACTGAACCCAACTTGGCTTTGCTTTTTATACCTCTCTATTCAGGGATAGTTCGCATACACATCTTGATTCTTAGTTCTTGTGTTTGTGATTGGCAGTCGATTGTTATGTGTGTGAGTCCTAGCAGATGACGTTGGATTTGGCTCAAGCTAATGTCTTATTTTAGAACTCTCTTCGGGAGGAAGGGAGGAAGGGAGAACTTGCTTAATTTGGAAGTATAAATATTTGTTCGACACAATCCTAAGACTATAAAGATATTTTCATAATGTCTTAATGTTAAAGGTTTTCCATTGTTAGTGAATGGAATGGATGCTGAAATATCATGTTTCAATTATTTTTCGTTGGTAAGCTTGAGTAATATTTTTGTATGTTCCCATTGTTATTTCATATATGCTACTTGCTATCCTGTATAACATATTTATATAGGGGGTCAACCTTAAAAAAGTTATAATGTTAGAGAACCATGTTAATTGAGTTGGCTTGATATTTTCTCTGTTTCGCTCTCTCTGATCTTGCTAGGGATCAACTCAGCGCATGCATGCAACGCACGATGGAGAAAAACTGGGAGAGAGACCCCAACTGTATCGTTGTAAAAAAAATGTGTTAGCATGTAAGAGTTCAGTGTCATTCAGTTTTATTATGCAAAAACTGCATATATCCAGTTTGCTCTGTTTGTTTTTACAGAGAGGTAATTCTCTCCCGAAACTTTGTGTTATCCATGTGAATTCCACTAGATATATCCGGCTTGCTCATAGTAGGACTTGTAGTATAGCCAGATCTATTCACGCGATTAAGTATGTATAGTAAAGTAGCTACTGATTATCAGTGTTGTTTATTGCAGTCTTTGTGCATGCAAAAAATTAGAACAATGACTATGTTGCATGCTGGCATCCCTATGTTTCTATCCACAAGGCTATATATGTCCTTTACCATAAGAAATAAAATGAGTAATATGGGATGATCATGAGGAGAATGTACATTCTGTAGCTAGCCGAGAACTAGCACAAATGGATAATAATACATCATTTGGTTGAATTCTGGACTATTTAAAGATGAGGAGATTGAGTAATCACATGCCTTTTGTTACTCTGTTGTTCATATTTAGAACTAGAGAGAGGGAAAGACGGAGTTGCTAGCTCATACTACTTGAGACTAAAGGTCATTAGGACTTAAATTTTCTGTATAGTACCACATATGATGGCATGTAGTTTTAGTATATACATATACTTGAGATGTTTCTGGCTAAAGCTGGAGCTATGAATCTAAGCTTAGCCCTTTTTTTTACTGCTTTATTCCTTACTCTTTTTAGGGAACACTAATATAGCATGATCATGAATTCATAAGCTTCCCACATAGTGGAGTATCCCTGGTCTTATAACTTTCTGAGCTCCATAAAGAGAAATAGCAAAGTATAGTGTTAACAAGGCAAATTCAAAGCCAGATTCATAGGGTGATTTGTGCTTTTTATTTCTAAGCTGTGTTTTATTTACATGAAACAATTCCCAGTCCCTTCACCCCAGCCGAGGCACCGGTTGATGAGAAGCCTGAAACAAATTCGATTGCGTGCGTCACATGTCCACCTTGATTTAACGTGTGCCCTTCACATGTAAGCATTTCTTGTAGGAAACGACAAGATCTCGGCAACTATTCACTGAATTTGGAAGAAATGCACACACAACAAAGAAGCCATTGTGAGCGCACAGATAAGGAGCGGTCAGAGAAGTAGCCAAGCACGAGAAACATCATCAACATACTTTATCTTCTTGTATTTCTGGTGGCACTTAGGTGTGAAGAAATGTACACGGTGATTGCTAGGAAGGGAGTTGAGTGGGAGTAAGACAAAGGAATTTGTGAACAAATTTAAATTTTGAAGGGAAAGACCTTTCAGTTCAATACATGGTGTGTGCAGTTCATCTTTTGGGTCAAATCTTTACTATTAAAGGAGAATCGAACGTTGTGATGGTTTGACCTCCTACTATCGCTATTGATACACCCCTTCCCACCTCCGATTCTTTTCCTGTAGCGATGCCCTCTCCCACTTCCGTTTTGATTTGGTTCCACCCAGTTACCCACCCACCCACACACCCCTCCCACGATCCTCCCGACGTTCCTCATGATCTTCCCAACGCAGCCTCCTCTTGGAGAGTCGCTCCTGGCGCAACGAGCGACACTGCTCCCTTGCACCTTCAAACCATGGCTTCCCCTGCATCTCCTCCACGCCACTTCGCTATTGCCACCAATGCCTAGTTGATGGCATCTTTCCTCATCTTCTTCTTCTCGCGCCGCGATGTTGCCGCCCCACAGTCTCGACCGGCGCCGCGCGGGCCGCGGCATCCCGCGCGAATAAGAGGTCGACCGTTCTCTTCTTTGGATCTAGAAGAGAATCGCGAGGGAGGCTGCAATAGAAGTTGGAGAATTGCGAGGGGCACATCCTCACATGTAAGTAGAGGCGCAGGCGTGGCGAAGAGGCACATGGTGACAATGTAGGTGGAGGAGTAAAGGGCCGCTGGAGACGGGATCATGTCCTATACATCGGCGAACCGGCGTGCAGTGGCGCCAGGCTGGAGGTAGCTCACGGGGATGTTCAACCTGAGCAACAGCTTCACGTTCTTCCTGCGCCATGGCGTGGTCATCCTCGTCTCCGGCCCAGGTATGTTATCCATCCAAGTCTACTAGTTTCTCTTCTTAATCTTATTTTCTGCTGATATAAGTAATCACGTCGATTACTGCAGGCAATTTATTTTTGCACACAACTAAGCTTTTCAGTAGTACACAAGGAACACTAGGAATATAAATAGTTTCAGGAATTCCATATGTTGTAAGATGCTTTGAATAGTCATTATACTGTAGCTTCAC